TGCTATTCACATCACCAGTGAGGCTACCTGGAAAACAGGACCCCAAGAAAGACACGAGGATCGCCCAATGATGGAGAAATGGCTGAGATCTACATGAACAACCTGGACATGAGTGGGAGCAATGAAAGGCGAGGGTCGAGGGAAAGAGAGCGGGAGATCCCAGCTGGATCAAAACAGAGAGGGAGAACAGGGAATAGGAGACCATGGTAAATGAAGACCACATGAGAAAAGGAAGAAACAAAGTGCTAAAGAGGCCCACAGAAATCCACAAAGATACCCCCACAAAAGAGTGCTGACAATGGTCGAGAGACAGCCAGGACTGACCTGCTCTGGTGATAGGATGGCCAAACACCCTAATAGTTGTGCCAGAAACCCCATCCAAGGACTGAGGAGTCTGGATGCAGACATCCACGGCTAGGCCCCGGGTGGAACGCCGAGGAGTCTAATTAGCGAGATAGAGGAGGGTTTATATGAGTGAGAATTGTTGAAGCCAGGGTTGGATAAAGCACAGTGACAAATAGCCAAATGAATGGAAACACGTGAAATATGAACCAAAGGCTGAGAGGCCCCCTGTATCAGGCCCTCTGAATAGGTGAGACAGTTGATTGGCTTGATCTGTTTGGGAGGCATCTAGGCAGTCGTACCAGGTCCTGGGCTCATTACATGAGTTAGCTCTGTGAAACCTGGGACTTATGCAGGGACGCTTGGCTCAATCTGGGAGGAGGGGACTGGACCTGCCTGGACTGAGTCTATCAGGTCGATCTCGGTCCTGGGGGAGGCTTTGCCCTGGAGGAGGTGGGAATGGGAGGTGGGCTGGGGTGAAGGAGAGGGGGGCAGAAGGGGGGAGAACAGGGGAATCTGTGGCTGTTATGTAGAACTGAATGGTATTGTAAAATAAAATAAAATAAATTATTCAAAAAAAGCAAACTTGTAAAATTACTAGATAAATGATCTATTATTTCCCTGCATATCTGCAGTGAACATTTGGGCATTAATTTAAAAGCATCATTTATACAGCCCCAACGATAACAGGTGTTAGAAATACATGTAACTTTAAAGGCCTTTAATAAAAATCTATAAACACAAACTTTAAATTCTTAATTAAAACATTTAATTAATAGAAACATTCCAATTGTAGATAGAAATCCTTAAAATTAAAAAAAGAAATCTCAGTTTGAAAACACAGGGCTCAAGAGATGACTCAGCATGTTAAAGGTGTTTAGTGCCAAATCTGAACACCTGAGTTTGACACCTTGGACCCATATAGTATAAAGAAAGAATTGATTCTCTCAAGTTGTCTTCCGATGTTATACATGCTCAGTAGTGTGCCTATCTACAAACATATATACACAAATAAATGATTTTTAAAAGATTTATAGATTCAACACAATCTGAAAAAAGTCCTACTTACATTAATAACAAAATTGATTGTATGGGTAATATGGCGGGGCAAAAGCAGTAGTTCTCAACCTTCCTAATGCCACAACCCCTTAACATAGTTCCTCATGTTGTGGTGATCCTCAACCATAAAATTATTTCGTTACTACTTCATAACTGTAGTTTTCCCACTGTTATGAATCGTAATGTAAATGTCTGATATGCAGGATATCTAATAGGAGACCTCTGTGAAAGGATCATTCAACCACCCTGAAGTGGTCATGACCCGTAAGTTGAGAACCACTGGGTTAAAGATATGGCTAGGCAGTTAAGAGATCTTGTTCTGGCAAAGAATCACTACTGGGTTCCTAGCACTCATGGTGGCTCACGACTATCTAACTCCAGCTCAAGGGGATTTAATGCTATCTCTGGCCACTGAGTGCACCAGACATATGTAAAATGCAGACAGAAATGTAGGCAAAACATTCAAACACATAAGATAAATCTTAAAAATAAAGTTATGTGTGAAAGGGAAAACTATCAAAATGGTGAAAACATGGGACTGGTATGTAGCACAGTTGGCAGAGTTTTCCTAGCACCTGGAAGCCTTGGGTTCCTTTCAAAGCACCACATAAAACCAGGCATGGTTGACACATAACTTTAATCTTTAGCTCTTGAGGTGAGTGAAAAGAGAAAGATCAGAAGCTCAAGGTTACCCCAGTTACAAAGTGAGTTTGAGGCTAGCTAGACTTGAGTTATGACTGTCTATCTCAAAAGAAAAGAAAAAGGTCAACACACTGGAACAGTACACTCACTTACTACCATCATCTAATTTTAAAACTACCATAAAAACAATCTACTTCTGGCGGGCATGGTTGACGCACAACTTTAATCACAGGCAGAGGCCAGCCTGGTCTACAAAGAAAGCTCCAGGAGAGCCAAGACTCTATAGAGACCCTATCTCAAAAACCAAAATAAACGTTCTACTTCACAATAAACAGATGAAGAGAAAATTCAGAAATAAATGTGCAAAAATACGAACTGTTTTTTACAAATGAGCAAAGGAAATTGAATTTCCTTTATTAACTAACAGTGGACCACCTTAACATCTATATGTAAATATATTAATGACAGACTTTATAACCTCCACAATAATAACTCTAAGTACATCCTAAACCTAAATATGAAATGCGAACTGCAGAACCTCTTAAAGATAACTCAGAGAAGCTAGACCCTGTAACACATGCACACCTCCTGAGGTCCCACACCAAAGTGACGTCACCGACAAGGACGGTGAGAGTGGTGGAGCCTCCTGCCATGGTGCTCAGCACTCTTTGCTGACACAGCCTGAGGGACAGAGCTGACCACAGCCAGGGAGCTCTCTGACACAGCTCCTGCTACAGCCTCAAGGAGGATCCGCTACTCGGGCTCCCGGCGCTCAGCCCGCTGCTCCACCCGGTCTGGGAACAGTGGCCCCTCGCTCACCATGACCAGCTTCCGAGTTTGCCGGTGCTCTCCTCCCAGTTCCTGGCAGCGGCGTTCAGATCACAGCCCAGGAAGCACCTCACTAAGCCTAAAGCGGCTCCGCTGTTCAGCAACGAAGAACCCGGCTCTCGCTGCCCAGTAGCACCCCTTATTGGACAGCCTGTCTGGCTCCTCTGATTGGCTAACGAGATCTGAGTGATAGGAGCAGTTCCATTGTGGAGGGAGTGGAGCCATAGAGACACAGACAGCCACAACCCCCAAATTACAGACATGCAAAATTACAGACATGAGGGAGCTGTGGGTAGATTTGCTTTTAAGAACTTACTCCTGCCCTCTAAGGCTGGCTCTTCTGTCTTATATTCCATAGGCAGAGAGTCGTTCATGTGCACTGTCCACTACACAAAATGGCCAATTCAGGGATCGCCTTGCCTCACAGTGGGGATTTTTACACGTAAAAAAAAAAAAAAAAAAATTAAAATTTTTGACTACGTGTATTTAATTAAAATAAAAACGTAAGAGAAGCACTTGTGTTGTGAGACCAAAATGAGCCATCTTAGAAATAAGACCAAAATGCTTTCACCCTAAAATTAAGGCCTAAGATTTCTCCTTTTGGGAATAGGCCATTAGTTACTGAAACCAGTCAGTTCAGATTCCAGAAACCAAGAAGTGTAAAAGTACAGAGTCACAAGATAGTCACGAGGTAATGCCTGC